TCCTTCACCTTTCCTTCTTCCACCTCCAGGAAGAATGATTTATTGTTCGCCTTTAGTCTAACCTGCTCCCCTCTGCTTTTTCCGTCTGCTGGGTGCCTCACCACCTTCAAATGTTGGCCAACATAGTCTGTTCCAAATAACTAAAAGGAGCTAAGAAACTAAAGGTTATAGAGGAAAGAATAAGTGCTGAAGTTGCCCTATAAACCTTAATATTTAGTGCTTCATGATAGAATGAGTTAATTTTAAATTTAAACATAGAAAATGTAAATGGTTGTAATATATCGAGAAAATTATCTATTACACAAACAAAAACTAATTTGACTTCACTCCGCATATCTACAATACTGTCACCAATATTGTACTCCACATGGTTCTAGTAGTATTGAATGGGGAATATGTCAATTCCAATAAAATTTCATGTTCCTACCCATGGAAGTGGAAATCAAAATATGTTGTGGAAACTATATATCTTGTACTCCACATAGTGCTGGTAGTGTTTATTGGGGAATATGTTGATTCTGATTTTCGTGTTGCAACCTATGGAAGTGGAAATATGTTGTAGAAATATTAGGGAAATTAGGAACATTTTAAACCAAGATTAGAAATATGATCTGATTAAGGTGATCCAAACTCAATGGAAATTTGACAGTATTGCAATATTATGCAGATGCCTAAGGGCCATTTGTTCACTCTTATTGTCTCTAGTCTATTTTGAGAAGATTAGTAATTAAAAAAGAGGAAAAAGAAGAATATAAATGAGAGGTGGGAGTTGGAATGTTGACCTATCTCGTTTAGTTGACCAAAAATGCTATATTTGTGGAATTTAATTGCCCTTACATGGGTACATCAAGTTGAGCATGATAGATATTTGTTATGCCTAGTTTGCATAATAAACCTGTAAGTTTCTATTACACTGTACATTTGATAAGTATGTTTGTTAGTTCACGCTTGGATTTTGCAAAAGATAAACAAACCTCTGCTGCTAAGATCATATTATACTGCTTGATACAATTGTGGATGTAGGACCAATTGCTCTAATATCATATGATAATGTAGGACTGTTTGCTGTAATACTGATTGATGTGGAACCAAGGTTCAAAGTATTGATACTCTTCTTAGAATCGTGATTACTGCTAACAGATACCTCTCTGACAGTCACCAGAATGAATATCAACTTGTATAGGTTATATTAACAATTTCATTAAAGAAAAAACACAGGGTTCATGAGGAGATGTACAGCTGCAACAATGACTCTCCAATGGAATTACAAGGGTAACATGCAGTCAGTAAATAAAGAATCCCTATGAACCCCCTAACTTTGATAGACTGCTAGCCATTGCATTTAGTTCTCTAGGGATCCATCTAATCCTTACAATCATCTGAGCGATAGTATCTCTTGCTTCATCAAGATGTCGTATCAGACACCAAGGGCCACTGTCCTTCCCTAACCATTTGATAGTGTTTGCAGAGTCTCCTTCAATGGTTAGGAGGGAAACACCCAAATTCTTAGCAATTTGGAGACCTGTTAGAGCAGCCACAATCTCAGCTTTTGCAGAGTCCACAACCCCTATTGGGCCGCTGAATGCTCACCGAGTATTTCCATCCTCCTCCACCTTCTCCCTACCTGGTGGAGCCCGAACAGCAGCTGGATTCAAGGTAGAGGAGTGTAAAATTTCCACTAAGTTCCTTTGTAAGTCTGAAAGGTTATGTAGGAAATGAGATCTTCAATGGTTCTTTTGTTGTTTTCAAAAGTTCACTTGTTTCTTTCTTCCCACACTCCCCATAGGCTTTCCCTATGGGTCAATGTGTTCCAGTAGGCTTTCCCTCTCTGGCCCAAGTCCCTACCATGCCATTGCGTAAGAAAATCCAAAACATGTTCAGGGGCTGCCCAGCTGTAACCAACCAAATGTAGTTAATGGTTCCATATTTTCCTCGTCTTGGCACAATGAATAAGGAGGTGCTCAATAGATTAACTAACTATCACGGAGGCTCAAGATGCGGACATGTGGAGAAATGCATAATCTTTCTTTGTTCTTTCTTTGGATTAGATCACAGGTGTTTATTCTCCCTAGGCAAGCCTCCCACACAAAGAAGGAAACTCTTGAAAGAGAAAGGGTGCTCTGAATCTTCTTACAGGAAACAAGTTGTTTTACTAACCTGAAATGAGAGTCTTGAAGAAAGTCTTGGTTGAGAATTTTCCGGCTGGGTGAAGGATCCAAATATGGCTAAGGAAGAAGGGGAGAAGTTGACCTCCTGTATGGGATTGGAGGAGGTTTGTGATTTTCAGCATACTCCATGTCTCTTAGAGGTCTTTGAAGCCTAAGGTTCCAATGAATCCCAGAGGTGGAAGGATAAAAACAAGAGGCAATGGTAGCTCCTTGAGTTTGGCTAAGTCGAAGCAAGCCGGGTAAGATTCAGCTAAGGTTTGATTCCTCCACCAGAGATCAGTGCAAAACTTAATCCTATTTCCATACCTCATCCAATATCTAGTAAATGAAATAAATTTAGTGTAACAAGAGAAGATGCCTTTCCAGGGGTTTGCTGCATTCTCCCGGATCAACTGGACTTTACTATCCCAACTGTTGGAATCATAGTTGTCAAGGCCAGGGGCAGAGCTAGGATTTTCTTTTGAGGGGGGCCAAAATGTAATAAGCATGAATAGGGGGCCAAAAGTTGGTAAATATAGGTAGAGGGACCAAAATATAAATAAAGTTAAAATGGGTATTATAGGTATTTTCAAGGCATAGGGGGGCCATGGCCCCCCTCTGCCACCCCCTGGCTCCGCCCCTGGTCAAGGCAATGCTTAGGCGGGCACCTAGGCAACAGGGACCCCTTAGGGGCTTGCCTCACCTAATTGCCAAGCAGTTTTGTACAGTGTTATAAAATACTTTTATATTCTTATTTTTTAGGTTATAATTATAAAATAGACATTATTAAATTAAAATATTCATTTTGTATGTTTTTATACTAATTTCTTTTTATTATTTTCTTATTTGTAAGGGTTTAATCAAGACAAATATTGCTAAATGTTGTATTGAACCCTCAAAGACTTCAAAACCTGAAACCAACAAGGAAGAACTTAAAATGTTGTCTTATCAACACATTTTCTTCTTCCACCTTTTTTTCTTCTTTTCCTTTAACAAAAATAGGGGTTCAGTCCCTATATTTTTTGAAGCTTCTTTTCTTTCTTCTTTTTCTTATGAATATGTTGGAATATGTTGATTTTCTGTACTTTAACATGAAGTTTATACTTTTCTTATGAAAATTATGGATAATTGTTATGGAACCTTGGGAACAACCCTGGAGTACATGTTTTTTACTTAAAAAAAATCCATCGCCTAGGTGACTAGGTGACAAGGTGCCCCCCTGTTGCCTAGCCTTGCCTTGGTGCCTTGAAAACTATGGTTGGAATCCATAATTGCTTCTGATGATGGCTGTCCAAAGTGTATTTGGTTCAAGAGGGAACCTCCACAACCATTTGCCAAGAAGAGCTAGGTTTCTTTCCTTAATATGCCCAATATCCAAACCACCTTCCTTCTTTGGTGTGCAAACCTGTTTCCAGCTTATTACAAGATGACACCTTTTTTCTCCACCACCGTCCCACAAAAAATCTCATTAGAGCTTCACAGTTTGACATTTTACCTTTGAAGGGATGAGAAACACCGAAAGGTAGTAAATAAGTAGGTTAACTAGAGAGGCCCAGGGTGAGTTCCCCCCCCCTCTCCATTTTGAGAGGTAATTTTTCTTCCAAGTAGCTAATCTCTTTTCACACTTCTTGGTCACTGGATCCTGGAATGAGTGTTCCTCGGATTCCTTCCTAGAGTCTTCCCCAAAATAAGTTGCAGGAAAGTTCTCCACTTTACACCCGAAGGCTTCCTGAACACTATCCAACTGTGCTCTATCAACAATGTTTGTTCCCACTAAAGTTCCAACAACTTGAAAGACTGAATAAATGTCAATACCTCCTCCTCTATTAGCTTTCATACATGGAAACCTACACTTATAGGTTTCAACCCCAGAAACAATCAAAGAAGATGGACACTAAGGTGGTGTTAATATTAAGGTGGGAAAAAAAGGCTCGAACACCGTCAGTCTTGTTTATAAGATTCTTCTTTTTACACTTCATGGATAGAACATTGTCTCTACAAGTCAAACAAAGTAAAGAAGCCAGATCTATATTTGTTTTTTGAAAATTGAATTAAAATTATAGACAAATACTACAACTAATCCAAAACCTTGGCTTCTTATAAAAAATCTACTAAAACCACACATGATTGGGTTGCGTGTGAGAGACAATCAAGAAGAAGACCTTTATGATCTCTGATACCAACTTGTGTTATCTTGTTTGATGTTGAGAGGATTAATAGGAAAAGGGAGAATACTTGCTTGCCTCAATTAATAGACCAAGAGTGTTATGTGTGCATGTGTGTGTACGTGTGTACCCTTAAACAGAATTAGTTTGGTTATATGGAAAATTCTAGTACTCTGATGAAAAGGAGATTTCTAAAAGCAAATAAAAAGTGACTAAGAAACTGCTTTTCTTCTTATTTCTTTTCTTTTTCTCTTCATTCTTTTTTTATTCTGCACCTGAGTTCAATTCTCGACTTTTTCACTAGTCTTGCCCCCTGAGGAAATTATTGGCCAAGTCATTGATCTTAGTATTCATACTAGTCAGTTTTGCTAAAGCAACAGTGGATCAAAAGCCTCTAAATTTGTCTGGGAAATTTTATTACTATTTTATGAAATCCTGTTGAATCAATCTAGGTGATCGAAGCTTCCATGATGATGGGGTTGCAATCATGTGAAACATGAGACCATACGGTATTAACTGGAATCACAAGGCAAGCATCATTTTCACTTTTGGCATTAGCTAATTGAATACCTACAGTAATCATCTGGCTCAGTGCACATCTAATGTCAAGAATTCCATTTAAATGCATTTAAATAAATTTCTCTATACAAAAACACTTTTTAATATTTTTTGGTTCCCTTTTTTCCAGGTCTTGCTGTGATCACTGTAATGTTTGTTACCACGTGCTTGATGTTTCTTGTTATTGTCATGGTATGGAGGCGCACTGTTCTGCTGGCAGCTGTATTTGTGATTGTTTTTGGATCCTTAGAGCTGCTCTACTTATCTGCGTGCCTTGCCAAAGTTCACAACGGAGGCTGGCTCCCTCTAGTCCTCTCTTTGGTTATTTTATCTGTCATGTCTATCTGGCATTATGGGACTTTGAAGAAAAATGGCTTTGAGTTGCAGAACAAGGTCTGCTTGGAGAGGCTTCTATGTCTTGGACCAAGCCTGGGTATAAGTAGAGTCCCAGGAATTGGTCTAATATACTCCAATGTGGTCTCTGGGGTTCCACCCATGTTTGCACACTTCATTACAAATTTTCCTGCTTTTCATCAGATGCTAATCTTTGTTACCATTGAGTCTCTGACAATTCCAAAGGTTCCTCCCAGTGAACGCTATCTCGTCAGCCGTATTGGCCCACAGGAATTCTGCCTATTTCGATGTATTGTTAGGTATGGGTACAAGGATTTCAGAAGGGATAGCTATGATTTTGAGAATCAGCTCATTGCAAAGGTGGCAGAGTTCTTGCAACATGAGATTAATAATGATGTCAAATCTGGAGGAGAAATGGTGTCAGCTGGAAAGCAGTCAAGCTCATTATTGGATGCAGTGGTAGACGGACTCGAATGTGGAGCTGGGAGAAGGAAAAAAGTGGGATTTCGAGGGGTTGGACTGAGGGAAGAGGTGAAGAAATTGGCCGAGGCTAGGGAATCTGGAGTGGCATACATGATGGGCCACACATGTGTTGTGGCTAGTGAATCATCGTCACTAGTGAAAAAGTTTGCAATTGATGTTGTCTATGGGTTCTTGAGGCGGAACTGCCGGCGCCCAGCAGTAGCTCTTGGTATCCCACACACGTCATTGATCGAAGTGGGTATGGTTTATCATGTGTGATGCAGTTTGGTCATTAGATGTTGGATTATCCAGATACCATCAGAAGGTTAGGATTATTATTGCACTGAATCATGGAGGGGTAAAGAGAAGTCAGCAGTTTGTGATCACTTGTGAAGGCTAAATTTACCCTGTCAGCGCCGTTTCCTAATAACAGTAAATGATTCCAGGCAACTCTTGTTAATTTAGGTGGCGAGTTGGGTTGCAGTCGAAGGCCAGAAATAACTAACACGTATGGAAGGACAAGAAAAACCGCTTGCTTTTAGCTCAAAATGATTATGTAGATGAGACTGAGTTTACTCTTCTTGACAGTAGATGGGCTTCAGTCTACTGCTGAAGGATGGTTAGGGTTGAAGGATACAGAATCATGAAGTAGCATTAGCACCTGGGTTATGTATCTACTTTTCTGCAGCACGATACATACCCTCTTCTCCCCAGAAAACTTGTTCTTTTCATAAAATTTCCCTTTTCTTGTACAGTTAATGGAAAAATGAATTGATTACCACACTTCTCATATTACTAAAAATATTGTAAGATTTATCCTTTTCTTCAACAGGGACTGATGAGATTGATCCATACCATGAATTGCAGTTATTTTGACACTGAATAGTCTGATTTGAACAAACCATTGCAAACGTTGTTGAACCTCAGTTTGGAAGGAGTACAAGTATAGATATGTACAGTGTAAATACAAGGTTTTGCGTTCCACATATTTGTATTTGTACTCCTTCCAAGTGGAGTCTCAGTTTGGAAAGAGTATACAATTCTGTTCAGTACAAATAATACAAAAATACAATGCTTTGCAACCTGAAAGCATTGCAAACACATGCAGGTCCAATCCCAATGAAAACTGTAAACCGATGCCAGTTGGATTAGATGTACCTCTATCTGTCTATTAGATTTAGAATTTTAGATTAGTCTCAGGATGGATTTAAAATTGAACAAGCGGGGGCCCGTGTGTTGCATGGACTTTCTTAATAGGGTTTGACTATGATATGGAATAGATATGGTATCGGAAAAACAACTGACCCATAAATTCAAATCATAAACATGGTAGCCAATCAGGTGTTATTTATCAAAATTCATGGGTGGGTTTTGATTGGTCAAAATTATTTCTATATCATATCTTTTCCGTATCATAGATTTTTTCTTGTTATAAATAGATTCTTCTTCCGAGAATTCTCTTGCCCGTTGTCTTCCGATCTGTTGTCCACCTTCACCATAGCCTTAGCCCTAGCACTTAGCCCCCCACCCATTGCCTGTTTGCTTAGCCCCGACTAAGCTAGTTTGTGGCTTTAGCCTCCACCATAGCCTGCTTGCTTAGATTGTGGCCTTGGATACCATGACTCCTCATTTCCCACCCATGGCCTTACCTGCTTTGGCCAACTCGGCCCTTCCCATGGCCACGGCCAAGGCCACCTAATCTGAGATCAAATCAGCCCCCCACAAGACTGCACCCCATTACATCCTACAGCGCATCCCCACCATGTATTGGAAACATCTCCCGATGATAGTACCAGAAATGATGATGTCATCATTTGGAGATGTTTCCAATACACGGAGGGGATGTGCTGTGAGACAATGTGGGGCAGCTTCTTGTGGGGGGCTGATTTGAACTCACCCAATCTAGCCTACTGCAGATCTACACTCACCTACCAGAGTCAGCACCCAGCCAGCTCGACTTGAACCCTGTGTCCTTCCATCCAGTTTATGGCATAGCAATCCCATATGGCTCATGCCACTACAACCTCGTCATAGCTCGTGCCACAGCAACCTTGACTTAGCCTGCCCTACCCGTGCTCTACTTCTGTATGCACATGTCTATGACAACCAGCCACAACCGTAGACCTGCCTATCACAACTCACCAACCTTTGCCACCTACCGCAACCACCTAGACAACCCATGCACCTACCTTTGATTTAGGCCCAATTAGGAATAGCAACGGGGTGGGGCATCCCCTCTCCATCCCCGCCCCCGGTGGTGGGGTGGGGCATTCACTCCCTGCTGGGGACGGGGAATCCCTGAATTTTTCCCGCTCCAAGGTAATTACTTAAAAATTGTCTATTTTATGGATAATTTACATACAAGATATAGGAATTTGGGGGTATTTTAGGAATTAAGTTATAATACTTTAGGGGTAATTCAAAAATAGAATTATGGGATCATAGGATTTTAAGAATTTAGGAAAAACTTAGAGATATTTTAAATATCAATATTAAACTTAGAGATATTTTACTAATTTACCTTTGAGTTCGGGGAATTATATACAAAACCCGTCCCTGCCCCGTCCCCCGTTCGGGTAAAAAATATTTTCCCCATCCCCGCCCCATCCTTATTTAGGGTCGGGGAAAACCCGCCCCGTTTGGGGTGGGCCCCCGGTTTTACGGGGAAATTGCCATCCCTAGGCCCAATCTCCGAACTACATTCACTCAGATTGTCCAAAGCCCAAACCATGCCACCTAGGCCTTGTCCTCTGTTGCACCAACCTCAGTTAACCCAGCCCGCCTTATCTTTGTCCACCTAACTACAGACCTACCCTCAATCCACTTAAGCTATGTTTTGAAGGAAAAAGTAGGGAAAGAAAGGAAAAGGTAGGGAAATCTATACAACATTTGTGAAGGTTTCCCTACCTTTTCCTTCTTTTTCCTTCAAACCAAACACAGCCTAGTTGCTCTCTCTTAAAGACCCTTGTCCATGGCTTAGATTGTAATCCTCTCTTGGCTCCACCTCGACCCTAACCCATAATAACCTAGCCTGTCCACGCCCACGCATGTGCCCAGAACTAGGGAGAAGTACCAATCAGCCCAACTCAGAACTTACTAACCACGAAGTACAGGGGGAATGCATCCTGACCTGAATTGATGCCAAATTCACGGGCAGGATATGGTTTATAGGGGGGAAGGAGGCTAGTGGTAGGGGGTGGCTGAAATTCAGAATTCTGCATCATGTGTATTCGTACTTTTCCCCCCAGAACTACTGTTTGGGGTCCGAACCTAAGTCTTATCACTTTTGAGGCACCTAACTACACTTAGCCTAAGACTTTTTTTTTTTTTGTTGTTGAAAAAATCTTCAATATCAACATGCTCACTACATATAGTTACGGCTTTTGAAATCAATAAATTTGTATAATGGCATCTCTGTTGATCAAACTGCTTATGATTATCTCTATTAATTAAACATGCTCATCAACTAATATAAAACTTTAGTTAACTCGAAGTTGTCTCGTTTCAGCGTCCTTTTCAAAAATATATGATTTTAGTTTGGTTACCATTTATGTCTCTTCAAACAGGATTTCAAAAATTTTATTACAATATTAATTTCTAAAGTCTTGGAACTTCAATATATAGCCATTGGCTAACAATACCTCAAAAGTGTATAATGATTTTTCATCTTCATGTTTGTATCTACTGAAATTTACAAAATAAATACATAATGTTCATAAGTAGCTGCACTATATTTTCACAGATGGTTTCCCTACCTTTTCCTTTAAACCAAACACAACCTTAAGTTTTATTGCTATGCTTAGAAACTTCTTTTCTTTTCAAAAAGGTTCTCTCTGAAATTTTAAATGAACATATGTATACTAACAATTACTGTAATTAGGCAACAATTGCAGGGCCTTGACGGCTTCGGTCTCCCACAACCTAAATCCTGATAACTCTAAGGGGCTCTAGAATCCTATGGGTGCAAAGTCTCAGCCCAAGGGGCTTGCCTCGATGGTAATTGATATAGGCGCTTATGGCAGATCAGTAGCACACCCACACGTGATAAAATGGCAACGTACAGCGCAAACCCAGTAGGCACATCGTGCAGAGTAGAAGCTGGCATGTGATGCGGGCTGGACTGCATCTTAGCCATTTGCATGCACCTACCTCCAGGCGGTTTCAAGTATAAATAGAGAATGAGCCTCCTAAGGTGAAGAATCTAGACTTTTTGCTACTTGGAATTCAATCGCTCCCCTCGCGATCTCGTTTGAGCTATCCCAACTCAGGTCTCACCCACCTCCCATCGCACCTTTGCTAACTTGACTGTTGGAGTCCCCGCCTCGGGTTAGCACCTGGGGCCTCTAACGTGTTCTCTTCCTCCATAGGACTGAGCTACAGGACCTCGGCCATAGCGGACCTCGGACTCATTAGCCAGCCCTCGTCTCAGAAGCATAATTACTTTGTTGCCCTCAGCCCACCCAAGGCAACAACAATTGGCGCCATCTATGGGAAACGTTGCTAAGACTTCATTGGATTAAAAAACACACCTTAAAATTAACCTCTAAGCTTCTGCCGAGATGGCAAGAAACACAAAGAATTCTCAGAACTTGGTCGTGATGGACCAATTCCAAGCAGTCCTCGATCGGCTTGACAACATTACGTAGAGCCTAGACGAGGTGGGGCGCCCGACAAGAAGCCGCCCACATGGTAGCCACCCCGTTGGGAGACTGGGGCACCATAGCGGATGATCACCTCCAAACCCTCTATCTTTACGCCCAGTCGGCCTTGACAGGGCCGACCTTAGAGTCCAACAGCAGCTGACACACCAGTCAGCTGTTGAGGACCTCTGACCCCCTAGCCGATGAGTGGACGACTCAACATGGTCTCGTGATCACCGCCGAGATCAAGGACATCACTGTCGATAGGAAAGCCCCTGGGACTAAGGCGGGTGATTGGGCCACCACAGCATGCCTCCGAGGGTTGAGGACCGACATCGCGCCTCTCCCTCTTGTGTCTCAGACCTCTGAGAGCTTCTGAATGACTAACGGGCCAAAAGGAACCAAAACACGCCCGCATCGAAATACTAAGGGAACAGGGTCAACCCGTTTTGTATCTGGGAGGACCAGGACGAGGCTTAGGCCCCCATCGACCAAAAGATCGTCGACTTACAGGCGGAGCTTGGTGCCGTCAAAGATGAACTCTGCTTGGTTAGGGAGAGCCGAGGTGACGCCCCGGCAAGTTAGAACCCTTTGTCTGGGAAAATGGACGCTTTCACTACCGATATCACCTCGGAGCTCCTCCCGTCGCATTTCAAAGCTCCAGCGCTAGAGATGTACAACGGAATTTTTGACCCGGACAATCACTTGAAAAGCTTCAGGGTACTCATGCTCCTCTATGGGTACTCCGACGCCTTGATGTGCCAGGCCTTCTAGGCGACCTTCAAGGGGGCGGCCCACCAATGGTTTTCTAGGCTCCCCCTTGACCCATCAGATCATGGGAGCAGTTTTCCGATCTCTCCCTCGCCCACTTCATCAACAGTTGACGGTGCTAGAAGAGCATCATCTCACTCATGATCGTTCGACAAAACCATGGCGAGAGCTTGTGGTCCTACATCGACCGCTTCAAGAAGGAGGAGCTTGAGGTCCGGGACCTCAACCCTCATGTGTGGCACCGAGAACCGCTACCCTGAGGTGGAGAAGCTAGCTTTTGCCCTGGTGGTCTCGGCTAGGAAACTCAAACCATATTTTCAAGCCTACAGCATTGCAGTTATGACCAACCAATGACCAACCAACCCCTCAAGTCTGTCATCGCCAAACTGGAGACCTCGGGACGGTTGACTAAATGGGCCATCGAGCTGCCTTAGTTTGAC